TGCTGTGTGACTAAGGTGGTAAACACTCGGCTTTATTAATGTAATTATTTCACATTATTACAAGAGAGCCCTGGGCTAAATAAAAGCCTTTTCATAAATGTATGAAAAGGCTCTCTAAAGATGTAAAATAGTGTTCCTAAAATTCCCAGAAACCTTACAGTATAGGTGATATAATAAACACCCAACAACAACATACAGTCTACTGAATATAATGGCATTGTTTATTTAAAGGTGCAATGTGTAAGATCAGATAACGGGCAGCATTTCACCTCTTTGCGCCCGTCTAGTCGTTCCTACGTTCCTTATAATAACATAATATTATAATATAATTATAATAATACACTGTTGTTCATAAAGTTGGAATAAAACATTTTTTACCTCTTTCCGTGAAATGATTGTGACAATGTGATTTATTTCATTTCACCTGGGTAATTGGGACACATAATGTAATCATTGCACCTGGTCAAAAGTGATTACTGATGCATTTAAATAGGAATAAACAGAGGATTGTGTCTGAAAACAAAATGATTCCAACTTTATGGGCAACAGTGTATATAATAATTATTTATATGTGCATTTATTGTTGATATTGTTAAAATTGTTGATAGCACTAAAACAAACTATTAATACTTGTCATACAAACAGTATGTTTGTTCACCTATATAAATATGAAGGCAAGGGGATGCTGCATGGCACATGGGTGTTAGAGCAGTATGAAGAAGGGATGATGACAACATCACAAAGGCAGAATCAGAAAATAATTTTTATTGCCAGGTATGTTTTCACTTTTCACTAAAACAATGAAAAAGATACTACACAAAATACTATAACTATGTACAAAAGTGTTGACAAAACTCCTGCTGGGCGGGATGTGCAAAAGGTAGTGATTAGGGGATGTGCAAAGATCACAGTATGGACAATATCTGTTATGTGCAGTGATAATACCTCAAGGTGTTACTGTAATGTGGTTGTTGATGACTGATGAGGCCAGACTCAGAAGGAAAGGCAGGTGCTGGTCCATCACTGGGGATGACTGGACTGGAATTCTGGTCCTGATACAGACAAACATGTGATAGGACAGTTACTGTAGATCATACAAGTTCTTTATATTCAAACATGTTAGGTCTCTTGTGTGTGTATAATAAATAGTAAGGATAGATATGAATATGCTAAAATAAATACAGTATTGATATTGGCATGAATATGCAGAGATATACACAATGTGAACACTAGTAACAGTATGAATATTAGGAAATGTAAATGTAAGGAAATGAAGAGTAAACAACTAGCGGTATGATTAGAATTCAATGTACACACTATATAACCAATAAACTATAGAGAGTAGTACAAGTATGGATATACTGTAAAATACATAACCAATATAGGCAATGGTATAATTGTGGTATAAATATTCATTATTATGAATCAGCAGTATGAACATGTACACACTGTAGCTCTGATATAATCACAGTGGTGCAGAGCTGAGCACGGTGACAGCTGAGAGGAAGAAGCAGATCCTGAGCCCGCTGGTTCTTGAACAAAGATTCCAGTTGCAAGCAGTCTCTTTGTCTTACTTGTAAAAGTGAATGATACAATTTTACTCACCTAGACCCTCCTCACTGTGTCTGTAAACTCTCTGCTGTCGGTGTTGGTATGACAGGCGGAAGCGGTGTCTGTACTGACTACAGGTCTGTGATAAAGACAGAGGTGTGCCGAAATCGTGTATTCACTCTGTCTACTGGATCCATACAATCTGAATATCCGGTCATCAGTTATAAAATAAGCCTAAAGTTACTGATGTGACTAGCTGGCAACAGCTGGCAGGAACAGGCTAACTTCTACTAACCCTAATCAGTATCATACATCTATGCCATTTGAATGTTTTTCAGTACGGTTTGTTATTAGTTGCACTAATGATACTTTTCACTACAGACCAACATTAGATGTCACTCACCAGTCTAAAGGTTGTGATCTCGGCATTAAAACCGCATCTCTTTACTCGTCAAGAGCTGTCGCCAGTGGTGGGAAGCCACACCAAGATTTACTCTTGTTTTGCTTCTTTTCTTTGCCGTTGAATGTGGTTTCTTGTCGGAAGTGGTACTTTGGGATGGAGATGAAGATTGCTTTCTAGGAGCTTCAGCCATCTCTGTGTTTCTGTGATGGTAGTCGGGAGCTGTAGCATAACAAGCTCTGGAGGAAGCTCCTCTTCTTCATGGGCCTGAGGGCAGATTAGATGCTAAACTGACTCACACAGCATCTAGTGTCAAACAGTGGTATTACAACACAGGACGGGTTGGGGCTAGCTGGTTAGCATGCTAATTTCAGTAGATATCTCTGAAATACAATATATAGAGGTCTTGGTCATGACATCATCCCTTCACACACTGTTGATAGTGTTAGTTCATTTTTGAACATTTTAAACTGAAACTGTGGCCGGATCTTATATTGCACCTTTAAAGTTAATCTATTATTCACCCTTAAAAATAAGGATCAAGTTTGGGACTGCACTTTGACACAAACAATGGCCTATAATTTACAGTGTATGCTCTCAGCATGCAGATACAGTTAGCTATCTTGCAGGTGCATGTTGAGACATAATTACTGTTGTTTTATAATGAATTTCAAACTTCGTTTTAAAAAATACAAATCTGATTAAAGCATCTTTGTACAAGCAGGGAATACTTTTGGATGCTGTTACTGGTGCAACCTTGTCAAATGTTGTTAGAAATTTTTTTTCCTTTAACTTCCCCCTAGTGAAGTCAAGGCAAAATGGTATAATTTGATGGATGTCACAAAAACTGCCAGAAAAGGAGAGAACAAAACAATGAAAAAATATTTAAATAACAGATTTGAAAAAAAAAAATGCTTTAGAAAAAGTCTCTGAAGTGTGTTTTCTCCCATGTGCCTCATTTATATTTACTCCCAGTGTTCAAAGTGAATGTCAGTGTGTGAGAACAGGCAGAGCTGTCATTGGTTGACAAACAGTGAACAAGAGCCAGATTACCATACAAGGAATCAACTACATCAAACCCCACTAACATTTTTCTCTTTATATAGTATCACTGACCTTCCACCTGTCTGCTATTTTGACAGTTTAAAGTAATGACACAAACAATAAGTGTTTCACACCCACATGCAGCACACACATGAACACCGACACCCCACACACCACACACACACACAGAAACACACACACACACAAAGAAAGACACAAATGCTTACATATGCAGGAATCTAAAAATAGCTTAATGTCAGGCATTAAAAATAGACCAGAGAAAATAAGAGCAGGAGTCGTTCGACTGAGTCTAAATGCTCTGACAGTCTGTCTTTCTGCATTTGGCTATTTGTGGCGGACGCAGGCAGGCAGACAGGCAGAGAGAGGAGAGATGCTGGAGATGAAAAGACGGCGAGCAGCGAGTTGCACTGCAGTTCTGCTGCCGCTCCAGCTGGCTCCCCGGCTAATTAGAATGGGGGAGAGCATGCATGGAGGAGGAGGAGGAGGAGGAGGAGGAGGAAGAGGAGGAGGAGGAGGAGAGCAAGCATGAAGCCCACATCATTTTCAGCTGTACATGCTCCTGTGGTCAGAAATGCAGCTCTCTGCTTCTCCCTGCGCACCCTTCAAAAATTCAGCTGTCTGGATAATCAGATGTGGCACGCTGGGTGACGACTCCTCTGTAGCTTATGGAACATTTTGGGCCGATTAGCATACAGAACATGGCAGCTTTTGCCTGGACTCGATCTAAGCTGAGCTGAGCTCACTTCCCTCCAGCTGTTTCACTGACCCAGTGTAATACACTGAACTGTTAACATACGAAGGATAAAAGGTCAATTGTTCAGAAATAATTAGACACAGGCTGTAATTTAACCACAGGTGAGAAAGACTTGAACTCAGACGCTTTAGTGGAGGAGGAATTCACACCAAGGAACACTACGAAATAAATTATATAAGGTTAAGGTTTTATCTTGTGTCATGTCTCAATTTTAAGCATAAAATCTGGTCTTTCTATGTAATGTATTATAAATCATTGTATTTTATATCTTTGTGTATCAGTGATCCATTTAAAGATTGAATGTGTTTTTTAGTTTTATGATAGACAAAAGTAAAAGTAAACATACCTCCACAGTGAATAAATACCACTATTCTTCAATGGTACCGGAATTGAAGTATTAACAGCAAAATGTTCACAACTGTCCAAAAGTATTAATGCCAAAAGTGTTATATCATAATATACAATATATTATCATATAATTTTTACTGCTACTTCTACTGACGTGTATGCAGCTTTTTAATGTTGTAGCAAATTCAGTTTGAGCTGACTACTCCATAACCTGTTATAATGTATCATATTTTAAAAGATAATCTTAATCTTTGTATGTATAAAAAATCTTTTCTAACACAATATAATACGATTGTAAGCAGATATAAGTGTTAACAGATAGTAGATGTAGTAAATATAGTAAAACACCGCAGTAATAATATCAAAGATTAAATAATAAATAGTCTTCATTGAAGGAATTATAATTGATCAGCAATACTGTACATTAATAAACACTTACAACTACCTTGTAGTGTGTTATAGAGCGATCATTGAATGTCGATGCTAAAATGCTAAACAGGGGGACGTAAGACAAAGTAACTAGTTACCACAGCTGTCATATAATACAATATTTCACTCTGAAATGTTGTGGAGTAGAAGAATAACATGGAGAAAATAAGGTCAAGTACAAGTACCTCGAAGCTGCACTGACTGCATGGTAGCTACTTTCCATCACTGCTTAGTAGAAGTGGAGATCAGGTAACCAAGTCTCATCATTCAGGATTATTTTCCGCTTTGCTTGTCACTTACACACATCAGTGTACAGTAAGAAGGGATCTCGGCTATGATTGATGTGTGAGCAAACATATTCAAAATGCTCACACATCATAGTGTCTTCTTCCGTTGTTTACTTCTGAGCCTCACAGCTTGCTTTTTCATCCTTTTTTTTTTTTTTCTCCATAGGAACCTGGGGAAGTCAGGCCTCCGTGTTTCCTGCCTTGGGTTAGGTGAGTTGGTTTGAAAGCAGGAAAATATTCATCTCTGTTTCAACCCCTCAAACAAAACAAACTTCTATCTCTCCTCTTGTTTAGGGACCTGGGTGACATTTGGATCGCAGATCTCTGATGAGGTGAGAGCTCTGTTGGCCCTCTGTTTGTATGAGAAGTCAATTCCCGAGCACTTTCACTCTTATTGCTTTTGTGTAAAACACCAGACACTGTGAATGTGAATCTCGGTGTTTTCAATTATAGAAATGTTTCAAAATCCCACAGACCTTGAAACTATTGCAGCTTAGTGCGATGTTGTGTATATCTCTACTGTATCATCCTCCCTGCATAGTGCCCTTCCCGGACGACCTCTGGGTAATTGGAATTTATCCATCGTCTCCCTTTCACAGTCTCAACTTTTGTGTTCCCTCAGATGGCTGAGAACCTGATGGCCATAGCGTATGAGAATGGAGTGAACCTTTTTGACACGGCAGAGGTGTATGCCTCTGGAAGGTCAGACTCCACCAAGCACCAATTAAATCTTCTGCTTTTCTTCCAGTTGAAAGTTTTTGTATCAGGACTTTTATGTGCATTTCATAGCCTCTGAGTGCAACTTCTCTCTGAGGCAAATGAACAGCTCAAAACATAGTGTTCAGGTTTCTTTAATATGTTTGCAGATTTCCTGTTTGCTTTAATGTTGTTGTGCAGTGACGTGAAGTTAGCATCAAACTATCACAATCGATGTTGTGCTTCTCCACAGAGCGGAAATCACTCTAGGGAACATTATCAAGAAGAAAGGATGGAGGTGATGTCACTCATTTTTCCAAATTGACTCACGTGCATGTGAAAAGAATATAAAAATATATTTTTTGAAAGCTTAATAATCCCTAACAATCGCTTGCTTTTCTGAAATGCACTGCATTAACACGTGTTTTTATTACTGTTGGAACAAATGCACTATTAAATTATCTCGAGGGAAATTCATTCTTTTAAGAAAATGAGGAGCTTTGGCCTCAGAAAGACTATAAAAGGACAAAAATGCGACCATGTGAAAATAGATTCCCAGCTCACAATACTGCCAAACACTCATTTGTGTGGGAATTCCTTGAGATATTTTGATTCTGGAGAAAAAATATATCAATAAAAACAAGTCAGACTTTATGCTTATGCTTTTGTAGTCTGTCACTGCCATTTATTATGTCAGATGAATTTGTAGATATTGAGAAAGAACACAATACTGGTTTATAGACACAATATTTTAATGAACCATACCAATAATAGCAAGCACAGAGAAACCGACTGTTATACTTACTTACAAAGCCAAAGAGACAATGACACTGTACACAGTATTAGAAGTAGAAATCGAGAGATAGAACAAAAGATTTTTTCTTCTCAAATTCTATCTTCATATCTAAACTGTGCTCCTAACCCTCATGTGTCCTTGCCAGGCGTTCAAGTTTTGTCATCACAACAAAAATCTATTGGGGAGGCCAGTAAGTATAATGTTAAAAGACTATATACTAGACCATACTGTTTTTTTCAATCAGAATCCTTGTTTGCTTTTATCATTTCAATGGCGCATCAATCGTGTATTTTCAACACTCCACAGAGCAGAGACGGAGAGAGGACTCTCCAGAAAGCACATCATTGAAGGTAAAGTATGATGATTTTTTTCTTACAGTTAAGTACCTGAATACATTTATAAAGAATAATGACTTAAAAAGGTAATGGGCCTGAGCATAACTGTGAGCTCAGGCCCCCGAAACTTTGTTTCATCACTCAATACATCCTGCAGTAATCCTATAATCAGAAAGTGGTCAATTCAGAGCTGTGTTTTATTACTGAACTCCTATTTGTTTGCTGAAGAGATTAATACAAGTTCAAAAGTCAGTTTCTATCAGAATGTGTGGAACTTTTATTGTAGTTGAAATGTCTCCCAGAGAGCATTAGTTCAACAAACCTGAGTTGTGATGAATCATTTGATGACCCTTTAATCTTTGAGTGTAAGCATTGTTTGTCTCACTCAGTTAAAGCCACCTCATGTCACGTCACAGTAGTTACGTCCACATGCCTCATAATCAAATAAGTTACTGTGTGTCATAACAGCTAAAGAAAAAGAATTAAAAAAGTATATTCCTCTGCAGTTGTTTGTGATTGCTGGTAGGACTTGAGGTGTAAATCTCAGGACTGTTGTTTCTCCAGCCACTTAATCAGCCCCCCGCCCCTCCATCTTCTTTGTTTTGTAAATAGTATGGCCTTAGGGTGCCTGTTTACCAAAGAGTTGAAGGGGCTGTTTCACTGTCATGAGGCTTTTGATTTGAAGCAACTGCATAATGAGCGAACTACATGCAGTTCTAAAGGTTTGCACAACATGCAGGAATTACTTCATACAGTAGTTATGTCACTTCATTTGTGATTTTAACCTCTAAATCAAATTGCAAACAAACCCAAGTTTGGAAAGTTAGCACACTGGCATTGCTTGGGAATCTATATCGTCAAAGTGTTGCTAATTGTTGCTCAGATGCTCTGTGTATGGCAGTGTGGGTCGGTCAGTTTGGCCCTGGCGGAAGTATCTCAACTGTTGGATGGATTCCAGTGAAATGTTATACAGAGGTTCATGCTCCCCAGGATGAATCACTGACTTTGATGATCTCCAGCTACTTTGGTTTATGGCTAAATAACTAACGACATCCCTATCAGCCTCAGCTGTACTTTGTGTTTAGTGTTAATTGGCATGTTACATGATGTAAATGAAAATGGTAAACATGGTGAACATTATAGCTGCTAAACCTCAACATTTTCATAGTGAGCATTTTGGCATGCTGATGTTAGCCATTAGCTCACAGCACAGCTGTGCCTAAATGCAGTCTGGCTGTTGACTCTTGCTCTTTTTGATGATCATGTTGTCAAATAATTGACTATTGCTATTGACAGGTTTAAGAGGATCCTTATCAAGACTCCAGCTAGATTACGTGGACATTGTTTTTGCGAACAGAAATGACGTCAACAGTCCAATGGAAGGTCAGTGACACATGCTTGAAATTCTTCTTCTTCTTTGCTGATATGCATAGATCATGTAATAGTCATAGTAATATATGTTTTATTTGTGAATCAATTAGCTGAAAGTGATCAAAAGAGTGTTGTTGAAATATGATGTTATATACTGTGATTTGCAGAGATTGTACGGGCCATGACCTTTGTAATAAACCAGGGTATGGCCATGTACTGGGGAACTTCACGCTGGAGTGCCATGGAAATCATGGTGAAAGCTCATCTCGGATTCTTTACAAAATTTGATGCTGTCAGCTTATGGCAGAAATGCTGATTGGTAACCATGGCGTTTTGTTTCTGTCCTTTTGGCACCAGGAGGCGTACTCAGTCGCACGCCAGTTCAACCTGATACCACCTGTGTGTGAGCAGGCAGAGTATCACTATTTCCAGAGGGATAAAGTCGAGGTCCAGCTTCCCGAGCTCTACCACAAGATTGGTTGGACATCCACAGTCTCACAGCTCTATTTATCTTTATTTTTTCAATTGAAACTTCATTTTTGTTTCATTCAAATGTCTATGCTTATTCCAATCTTTCAGGTGTTGGAGCAATGACCTGGTCTCCACTTGCTTGTGGATTAATCACAGGGAAGTACAGCGACGGTGTACCAGAATGCTCCAGAGCAGCAATGAAGGTCAGTTCGATTTGACTGGTCCTCCTCTGGGATTTCTCTCTCACTGAAAACCAGCCCCAGTGTGATTCTCTACCTTATCAGTGAGGTATTGTACTGTGAAATCACTATAGAAGTCCTGCACATTGCCTTATCATTGCTTCTCTCCATTTTGCTCCTGGTGAAGGGATACCAGTGGCTGAAGGAACGAGTGAACAGTGAGGAGGGCCGCAGGCAGCTCGCTAAAATCAAGGAGCTCCATCTACTGGCAGACAGACTGGGCTGCACTGCTGCACAGTTAGCCATAGGTATGACCCAGGCAAATGACATGGTTATACAGTGCACATTCAGGGACTTATTCTGTGTGTATTGTTGCATGAGTGGAAGATAACATTTAGCTGTTTCTCAGATTTGAATTTTAAATGTGCACAAGACTACTGAAATGTTCGGTCATTTATTTCACATGAGTCAAGTCAATTTTTATTTATATAGTCCCATATCACAAATCACAAATTTGTCTCTAAGGGGCTTTACAATCTCTACAGCACACAGTATGAAATCCTCTGTCCTGAGATCCTCAATAAAAATTCTCCCCCCAAAAAAACCCTCAAATTAAAGTGCTTTGATTTATTATGCACAGCGAAGGTTAGGCCCCAGATTTGAGCATGATTTAGTGCATCACACAAATCTTTCCAATGTGCCCATCTGCCTGTGTGCAACCACTCTACTCCTTAGCAATGGCTGTATTTGTTAATTATATAACTTTTTTTCCATCTTTGTGTTTATTCAATAAGTTTAATTTATTGCTTAGGTTTTCCCACTATCCTTGCCTGTCTACTACAAAATGTACTGATTTGGGATCACTGTCACGATTAGCAGATCTTAGATCAGAAATCCTGCCCAAATATATTTGATACATGTTTAATATGGCCAGTAGATTGAAAGTTGATGAGTTCACTTGGTTTTCTCTCTTTTTTTTATTCTACAGCCTGGTGTCTGCGCAGTGAGGGAGTCAGCTCAGTACTTCTGGGAGTTTCTAATACAGACCAGCTACTTGAGAACCTGGGTGCCCTCCGGGTAGATTTTTTTTTCCTTTTTTCCTCCCACATCAATAATTCTGCCTGACATACCGAGCTACAGTTGTGCAAACCAATAGATAAACTACTTTGTGTGTAATACGAAGTTGGTAAATCTGACAGACCACAGAAGAACACATTTGTAAATGAATGCTGTCCTTCCCTCCTCCTTCCAGATTTTATCTCAAATGAACCCTCAAACCATTACCGAGATTGATGCCCTGCTGGGAAATAAGCCACACTCGAAGAAAGAGTCACGCGCTTGAAGATGCAAATCTGAGTGACAGATGATGTTTCAAGAAGATGAAGAAGACAATGACATTGGGAAACATTGCTTTTTGCTCTGCTGTATACTCAACAACTTGCATGTCCTCAGCAACATTATGCTTCCAGTATGTGCGCATATCCATTTTGCGCAGTACATTGTATCATGTATGAAAAAAAAAAAATCTTTCAATTGTGAAAAAAAAAACAGGTCATATATTGCTCACTGCCGATTGTTCACAGATTAATTATTTCTACAGAGGGGGAGGCTAAAACAGGTTGGAGTGACATGTTTCTGCAATCCACAGAGACCAAGAGAGGTTGAAAAATATTCAACAGATTTGACTCTTGTTAATGAAATGTTCTAAAGTGAAAAAAAAAAACACACCTATGTGCTAAAAATGAAACTTTACTGCGTTAACGGTGCTTTCATTGGAGTCCCCCCTCCCCTCGCAGCTGCCTGTTATTCTGTATGATGTTTAGTACCCAGCAGCCAGAGAGCCAAAGGTTAGTACTCATGTGTCTAGCCTAACATCTCCCATAGTGTGCATGTGACTGGTCTGCCACGCTCACTGCTTTACAGGGTTGGGAACAATGGATTACTTGTAGAGTCATTACAGTGATGTGACTTTAAAAAAAGACTTAATCCATTCTGGTATTACTTTTTTTAAAAAAAAGAGGATCAGATCACATGCTTTAAAAAAAATAGGCCCATTCATTTAAAGCAGCAAGACAGAAACTAACACATTTTACACTGAAATAATAACTGATTGTGGCTCAAGTTACTTGATCTAAATTGCAAATAATTATTACTGAACTGGCTTTTAAATTAAAGTATCTCAGTGCACTATGTTTTTACGATTTAAAATTGTCAATCAAGTATAGTAGGTGATTTTGAAAGTAACTCTCCCAACCCTGCTGCTTTCTCGGCAGTCTTTTTGCCTCTTCTGTTTGTAAACTGTGCGCATGTCCCTTTAAGAGAGAATAGCCCTAACAGGGTGTAAATGTGGCATGGCTTTTATGGCTTATGTAGATTTGCAGTGCCCTTGTAAGCCATTTTTTACTCTAAATGGTCTGGCAGTTTGATTCAGGATCCGTGCTGGTGGGCACTTTTGCTTTAAAGACTCTCTGCAGTCTGCAGACACAGCTGTGTGTCCATCTGACATATAATCTTTGTATTGTCCTAAACTGTATCAAAAGATGTTCACGTCACTTTCAATGATGCCATTCTTGTGAAGAGCATCATTGTTCCTAAATCAGAGGTTTGAGACAGTTGGACTATATGGAAAGGTCACTGAGCGTCTGACACAAAGATCTGGACACACTGTGGTGAACTAGTAGTTTTCCAATGATAGGACATAAATGATACGTCTGAGTTTATCAAATGTGATATTACTCTTGCCACAGGTCACTTGGGGTAAGATTTAGCAAATGTAACTTTTTTTTGTGGAAGCCTATAAATATAGCTTCTCTGCTCATTTCTCTGGGAGTTCTCTCTCTCTGTATTATTTGTTCCTTTGATTCTTGCACACATGCACAGGTCCTTTTATACTGTGCATCCCATGTCTTTTCCCTTTAGTTTTGTATTGATTTCCGTACTTTGTAATGTGAGGGGGATTTGTTCCCTTTGTGGTTTCCCATGAAAACAGCACTAATCTCCGGGGCAGGGTGTGTTTTGATACATGAAGTTGTTTTAGCTGGCACAAGGTTACATTGTACTGTAAATAGGCTTATCTGTTTCACAGTGAGATAAAAGATAAAGGTTACATTTATGAATGAAAGAAATTCCTGAAGGAGCAGCTGAAGCGTTGCTTCCCTCTGTGACTCTGTGATGATGTACAGATCAACTGAGTGTAGCTTTCAGTGTACATAGATACTTCAATCAAACCTTGAAAATGTAACTTTGCCTGCATAACTTATATTTTACTGTCTTGCAAACAAAGAGAAACCAAAAGAGAGAAGAGACAACTCATACTGAATGTATCATGTCTGTTGCTCAAACCTATCTAACCTAAAGGGACAAAGCACATAACATGTTTTAAAGGTAGTTTCCTTTTTGTGTTTTTGAACCTGTTACATAAGAACCTGCAGAGCTCTCATGCAAATATTTACAACAGGATTTGGGCAAAAGGTTATTCACAGTAGTTTCATGCATAAACACCATTCTGAGTCAAAAATGTGCTCACCTGTTTATGGAAAGTCAAAAAGATTTTGTATTGACTATTCATAACCTGAACACTTTAGCTGAAACAGGCCAATCATAGCTGTTATGTTGAACATTAACGTCAGCTTACCTTTCATGTTAACGTTTGGAATAAACTGTTTGTTTGAGTATATGTAAAGGGATATTAATTTATGAGGCACACAAAAACCATTTATGGATAAGTGTGGACTATTACCCACATTGTGAATTGTAGGATTATAACATCAACCTCCATTCTCACACACCATGATGGTTTCTCTACATGTTACTGAACAACACGCTCTTGAGAACATACACTCACGTATATGACCTTATAACTAACACACTTTACGTGTACAAATTAGCAAAAAAGCAGCAGCAGCTCCTTCAACCATAGCTTTTTCTCATTGTAGTCAACCTATTAAGTTAAAACTGGCACTGCTTGGAAGACATGCTGTTACAACTAGTCAGTGTTCATAACCTGAACTAACATAACCTCCACACCAAATCCACACCATGATGCAAACTTCCACAGCTAACCAAACATTGAATCTACCTTTGACCCTGAGCAGGTTTTCTACATCTCTGCGCCCAGTGAGGCTCATAATGTGCGTTTGTGTCACTGCTGCAATAACAGAACTGCTTCATGGTCTCACACTAAAAAGGAGCAGAATTTTTTTTTTGCAGGTGTAGAAAATGGCAGCAGCATTTACTGAGCATGGAAGAGCATGGAAACAATACCATAGTTTTGTCTGTTGCTTTACTAGCTAGATGTGGCCCATTAAAAGCTTGATTATCCATGTAGTATGAACAAACTGTGCAAATTCATATCAAAATACAAAACATACAGAAGTCAACATCAACTTTTCTCCATCGTGTTACAGTAGGATATATTTTGAGGTTGGGTAAGTGATGTCTCTTGTCATTGATATATTGCAATGACAAAGAGGCTGCTTATGACAATCAAAGTGGATGAATAAGACATTTTCAACTTGCAATAAACAAGGCATGCAATATCATTCTGCTTAACAAATCAAAAAAGAACTCGGACCACAAACTAAGTGGACTCCTGTCATCCTCACATCCTCCCATATGTCTGGCACCCCTTCACCTGTGGACCCCAGAGTCATTCAAATGGACAGTACAAGAACAAATATCACAGCCGTGTGCCCAGCACTGTCTGTGCTGCTAAAACAGCAGAGCCTTCTGGGACGTCTCACACGCTTAACACAAACAGCAAACATCTGCAACCTCTCTGGGGCTGGACTCCATAATGTCATCAGAGTGACAGATGACACATATGTGTGTATAACCGTGAGCCACTCTCTGATAAAGATAATCATATGTGCTGAAAAATGTTGGATGTCTCACCACCAACCTTGTCAGAGAAAAACAGGTTTCACCACATGATTCATCCTTCCTGTGAAGAAGCAGGTTGGACAAGGTGATGAAAAACAGAAATGAAGTAGCCGTAGCCAGTTAATAAACACATTTGAGATACACAAGCCTTCACATAAAGCACACCTCAAACCTAGCTTATTTGTTGCTTTTGTATCAGTTCAGTGATTCTATTAATGATCAGGACAGGTGCTGAGGTCGCAAGCAGCCTGGAGCTACTGCTGTGTGTGGTGGAAATCTGTAAACTGTTTGGTGAGAAAGCTTCCAAGGAGAACACCTTGTAAGGTTCTGATGTTTATTTGAATCACTCAATCAAGTGTAAAACAGACAAAGAATAAGCAAATGGAGTCGAACAAAGTCATAGCAATTGTTTGATCAAACGAGTCAGAGATGTCAGGCTCAGACTGGCTAGAACTGAACTGTTCATCACTTTTAAAGAAGCAAACAGTTGTTCTGGACAACTGAGTTAAGGGCCTCTCCTAGTTCGTTTAACCCACCTTCTATAGGTCCATTGCTCCCTCCAAGGGCGGGCCATGAAATGCAGTCAGAGATAACATTTGGGTATAACTATAACTACTCTATTCTATATCTAACAATCAAACACTAGTAATAAAGAATTTTTCCCCTACACTGTGTACCCAAGGACACAGGGAACAATTAAAATAGTCAAAAATGCACCTAGTGGTACAACACTTGTTTAGTTAAATTAATCTGTTCATTCACTTTTGCATTTGAAGTGGGATAAGGCTGGTGATGTTCAATAGTTTTCATATTGTAAAAATATCCCCATGAAAGACCAAACACTGACTTGATCTAACAAACAGTTTTGCCTGTGTAGCCAAAACCTGATATCTGTTAGTCATCTGTCCCATAGAGCTCCATTGTTTCCAAAAAACATCAATAAGCCACTTCATTGCACTGGCTGATGTGTTCCTTCATTACCATGAACATAGTCACAGTAGATTATTTTAAAATAATCCCATATACACCATCCCACTACCACAAATACTAATTAGAGCACCAAATGTGTATTCATCCACTGCTAAAAATAGTCCCCAAGAAAGGAAGTGTTTACTCCTGTTTAAGAAACCTTTGATTAAAAACTAGTGCCCAGAAAATTACTAAGCCTCCACGGTTGTATGCCTCCACCTCTTAGACAGGTTTCAGGTTTCATCCCTGTTCATCCAGAATCATATAAAATATTAATCATTAATGTGAAATTCTGTGGTAATTGCTGTGTGAATTCTTGAGTTATGGCTTAAAACCTATTGTGTGCTGTCAAAGTGACCATGACCATGACCACCAAAATCTAATCAGTTCATCTTTGAGTCCAAGTGAACGTTTGTACCAACTTTGAAGGGATTCCCTTGAGGAGTTCCTGAGGTGTTGCATTCACAAGGCCAAAATTGTGTTTTGTGAGGTCACCGTGACCTTTACCTTTGACCTTTAACCTTTAACCACCAAAATATAATCAGTTCTAATTGTTCAGTGTCATTTTATCACACTGTACACAATAAGAATCGGGACAAAACTGTAAATGTGTTTCTAATATACACAAAGCACTTCCTCTCTCTGGTGCAGCTGTGACAACTTTGAATCAGTCAGAATATAGGTACAAACCAACCAACCAATCAGAAAAGGGCTACAAATCAACCAATCCGAATACAGCTACAAGGCAACACAGCTACTTCTCATTTAACTGCAGTCTGACAAACACTATAACTCCCTTAACAGTAAAGACATCATATCATTTGTCAATCTCTACAAGCATTGAATGTCCAGATTCCACCATCTACTAAAATGTTCCCCCCTGTCCGTAATTCATCCCTGCTGCCTGCACATCTGTTGAATCACATTCAAATCCCCACAGGTTGCTTTACAACAAAACCACTTCACATCATTTCAACACACTGCAGCCCATAGTCTCTTTTGCCTGCTGAGGGAATAAAATACTCCCTACAGCAGATGAAGTGTTTCTCATAGTTGCTTTTAAACCATATCTATGCCCTATTCTTTTATCCCTTATTCCTGTTTGACAAATGATTTTTGTTTAACTTGTCTTCATAAATTCATCAGAATAATCAGCTGTTAAAAGCAATACACTATAATCAGGAAGAAAGTGTACAAAATTGAACGCAAGACGTGTCAGGTGATCACAGGTTACTTTTATTTTCTACTAAAATACACGTTTCATGCAGGTTTTGTCACTTTCCACAATAGTCAACAAAAAGACAATGAAACAAGTCACCTCGAGGCATTTTGCCACACAACATTAGGCAAAGAGGGATGTTAAAACCGCTCAGTACAAGGTGTGCAAATTCCTAGTAGCTTTATAAATAGTTAATCTTCATCGGCTGTATCATGCTCTCATGTGATAACCTACAGCCAATCAATCATACCTGGTCGTAATACTGCACTTATTTAACTATGCCAGGAAAAAAAAGTGTGTCCTGAAAATCATATTAAATACACTGGGGAACTGAAAATTAACAAGTAAATAATGTTGCAAAGTGATATAAAGCTTTTGGACATGAAAGTAATAAAAACCAGTGTACATTACAAAGTAACACAAATGCTCTTGACAGTAGCTTGCTGAAGGTACATAATCTCTTTCAATCCATTAGCTGGTACAGTTTAGTTGGTCTCTTCCTTGATTAGCTGGCAAGTAAAAAGTGAATATTTATCTTTTCAGTCCAGTTTTTGTTGTCAACTTTTCGGCCCCCACTGTGACCTACAGAAAAGGTTGTGCGCTGACAGGCTGTGGCACGGCTTAAGTTTAAACAGTGGAGTAGAAGGCATATGTGAATCAGAGAATACTAAATGTAAAAGAGAGACTGAGCATGGAGGATACTCTACGCTCCACTTTACAAGGCCTGCTATGATCTTCATATGAAAATAAAAAGAGGTAGGCAAACTCTCAGCTCTGCTCTGCTCAGCCGTACTGACAGTCTAATAAGTTGCAGAAATGGGGATGAAGTGCTTGTCAAACATGCTACACACAAAGCCTGTTTTAAAAATGACAGCCCAGCACAGCATGCTTACATCAACCACCCTACCTTTAAAAAATGGTTTCCTTCCTGATACAGCTGGTTGCATATTAATACTATAGGGACTTGAATTACATTTTCATGTAAACAAGGAGACAACAAAACACAAGACTCATGCATTATCATCTCCAGAATGTAGAACAACAGTAAACACAGACAGATGTAACTGCACAGCTTATTTAGTGGCTTCTGCTTAGATTTTTAGGTTGCGCATCTTCTTCTCTCTCTTACTACCTGTCTGCATGACATCATTAAGGGTAAACGACATGAAGGCAATCTGCTCGTTTTCACTCTGTTTCCCACACTCTATCACGCACGAAAACTGATCCTTGTCGCTGTTGTAGGCCAGGTCTGAGTAGCCACTGGGTCCGCTGTTGATGATCCTGGGCCTGTCCCAACCGGAAGAGTGCAGGGGGGATCGGTTCAAATACACGCCCATGTCCCTTCTACTACACTTATTGGTTGGGTGCATGAAGAGGAGCCAGGTTTGTGTGTCTGGAGACAAGAGCGATGTGCCACAAGCTTTGCTCTCGGCGTCATCATTTGGGAAAAATTCAGGAGCAGGAAAGCCAATGACACTGCCTTGACAGCCGGAAGGTGGTTCGACGAGCTCTGAGGCCATGTGGGGTTTGTCAAAATACTTGCCGCTGTCTTCACTCAGGGCCTCACATCTGATCCCACCATTGTTACGAGCATTACAGTAAAGATAAGACCTGCCCTCGTGGTCTATGATCTCTGCCATTTCACATTCACATGAATATTTTTGAAGCATCTCACCCATGTGCCATGTCTCCCCACCGTTGTCACTATAAATAGCCAGTGCATGTGGGTAGACTGTACAAGGAATGGGGAAGGAACAGCATCTGTAAGGGACGTAATAGGCGTATGCTGGGATGATCAATCTGCCATTTTCCATTTGAACACCGTGGCCAGGACCCACAGCAAACGTGGCCCACTTATGGATAGTTTCGCCAATTACACTCTCTGTCAAGTCTTTTGCTGATGTCCAAGTTTGTCCATCATCACTGCTGCTAACACAGCAAAGCCGTGCCTGGTTTGTACCTGTGATTACCTGGTATTTTTCTGTGATGGTTTCCAGGACGCAGATGAAAAATAAAAACAATGTTCTGCTGTTTTTTTCATACACGGGGCAAGGATTCATGGTGCGGCAGCCCGGTTGACGTGCTGTTGACAGCTCCTGACTGGAGGACCACTGGAAAAAACATTGTCAAAGGACAACAATTAGAAAGATGAGCACAGATAATGCTGATAGTTTTCAGTATTAAAGCAAAGGTGCCAATAATAACCTGAACAGATCCATCATCTTTCAATGTTCCGCTTCTCATAACAAGAATTTTGGCATCTTGGTCAGAAGGTGAGGACCTTTTCTCTGCAAAAGCAAGGAAGGTGTGACTGTGCTGCAGATAAATGAGAGCGGGAATTCTGTATGTTATCCCACTTGGCTGCTCTTGTTCAAACAAGATTGTTTTAACCGGTTCCTCTCCGCTGCCACTCTTTGATGATGTGTTTCCCATGGTGGGTCAGAGTTCCTGGAAAAAGAAAATGTTCCAAATTAATGACTGTACAGTATAAGTCTTAGCCTGTGATTTAGTCTTGTTATAACAGTCTTTAAAAGCAGACTGACAGTTGAGAGTTCACACTCCAGCAGCTCCTCGTAGCCAAGGGCGGAGCAAGACATAGTATATAGTCAAGACATAGTCTATATTTCTCACCGGGAATTTTTTCCCCAGTCACAGCAGCTACATGTACTATTTACTGAATCAAGCCATTTGAACATCATTTGGGGAAAAAATGATAGTTGCCCAGGAAAAAAAAAAAATCATCCAGTGCCTGCGTCATATTTTGAATCAACTTTTTCTCCGTCTCCATCATTCTGAAATGACAACACAACAAATTTTGACAATGACTAATTTTCACTTCTGCCACATAAAAAGAGGCACAAATTGTTTGGTGTTACTATTTTGAATTTCCATGACATAGGTGGGGAATGAATATGGTATAAACAGCATCACTAAAGTTTGAAACCTATTTTTGTCACACTATGCCAGAGTACAGGTCACAAATTTAATGTTTAGATGACAAATCTAAATTTAAATCCTGACCATAATAATATGTGCTGCTCTAAATGAGCAGTCATATCCACAACATGGTCAAGTAAATGTCTTCTCTTCTCTGAACTGAATATTAGGCCAACAGAAGAACATTTACTCAATTAAATTTCTTTAAGGAATAGCATCATAGGACAAACAACATGGACATATACTTTAATATTATCATACAGTATTTTATTTGATCCACTCCTGATCACTCTGTTCTCCTTTCCTCCCCTTTTCTTCTTCTTTCACTCTCTCGGCTCCACTCATCTATTCCTGGAAATGTCCTCCACTCAAAGAAAATATAAAACAAAAAGATTTTTATTTCTCTGATCATAAACTGAAGATGTAAAAATATTAAACACATATTTTATTCTCTTACATCTGCGCCACCTCTGCTCTCCTTTCCTCCTCTTTTCTTCAATCCTGTCTTGTCAACACATTTTCATCTCTTGTTGTTGGATGATGAAGATACATTGCAACAAGGCCATATTTCATACCCATCAAATCTGTAAAGAGATAACTGATGTCAATTGTTTTACTTTTGAGATTATTGGAATTATTCAATCAATTTGTGGAAGGTGTTTTATATTTACAGATTACACATTTACACACGGATTGTCAAATCTACCTCCATAGAAATCCCACTCTTACTTGTTGGAGTATTTGGGGAAATTAAATTCATAGAAGACGGTGTGCTCTTACTTTGAAATAAAAAAGTCGATTTTCGTTCAGACTGGCGGAAAGTTTGTCTCAAAACTCTGTGTGTAAAATGCAAATCCACAAGCGTGGAATAGACATCCACAAATGCTTTTTCGCCTCACAAATGGAAAATTGATTCACAAATGTCTGTTTGAAAGTTTTAAATGTTAGGAAGATATTCACAAATAAATGCTTTTCATTTATTTGTAAAGTAATTGAATGTATTCACAGACATGTTTTTATTCCTGGAATTTGTTTGTGTATTTGCAGATCCTTTTTATATTTGCAAGATATTTGCAAAGTTTACAAATGTATTTTTTGTATTTGTGGAAGGTGTTTCATATTTAGATTACACATTTACTCACTGTGTCAGTCTGTGCACACTGAGACTGAGAGGAAATGACACCAAGTTGAAGTTATATTATAAACTTTATATAAGATTCGGGGGCTTTTGGGGAAAACGTCCAGGGCTGGAGCCCCACAAACCGCCCCTCAGCTCCGTCTATGCTCATAGCCACATATGATTGCATTGGTATAAACAACGTGTAGCCTTTACTGTGCGTGCATACCAAACCCCTTACCTTCACTTGTCACTTTTCCCATTCGTCACCTTTGATCTTTTCTTGAACGGCATTACACCACCTAATTTCAAGCCGAACCAGGGACCTCTGATGTTCACGACACTAATGCTATAGGTTCATCAGAAACGAAGGCGGCGCTGAAGTGAGAGGAACACTCACACGTACTTCCGTGTTCGCTTGGACACTACCTGGCTAAACTAGATGTCGGTGGTAAATGAGCTTCGTAAAATGGAGCGCCAAAGAGCCCTTTTATCGTTTATTTTCCCATTACTATGCTAACACAACAACTACGTAACAGACAAGCCGTTACATGAGAGTAGTACACAAAACAACATCCAATTGCAGTCACAGTGGTACCCGACGTTACACATGCGTAGTGTGGACGTTTCTGATTAAACGCCAGGTGCTAAACGGTTTAAACCAACGGTCGGACGTAAATTCGTCCTATTGAATAAATTACACCCTTTCTTACAGATAGAAAAGAACTGCCACATAATGGTAACAATTGCTGTTTAATGTTTTTAAACACTTGAGGCAGGCTAGGTGGTGTATTATCTTACCATTGAATTCCATCTTTGATAAACAAGGCTCGTCAGTCTCTTCCGCCGTAAAGAAAATACCCATGTTGACTTCTTACCGCCCCCCGCTGGACGGGAGGGGCAGGTATCGTTTAACGTGCTGTTGCTAGGATACGGAGCATTACAGTGGAGCTGTAGCAAGTAGTTTTGCCAGTTCAGTGCGTGAAAAGCGTAATTAACATTTGCATAAAGAGTTTTTTTCGTGACAAATGGATTTACCCAAGCAAACAAGATGACTGCTGCATCGTATAAATTTGATGATGGGCAGAGCTATCCCACCAAATGTTTCCCGGCCCGAACATTACTCAGTCGAAGGAAAGACGGTGGGTTAAATTAATTTAAGTTATATATCAAATGACTAGTCCAGAAAGTTACATGAAATTATCAGAAACAAGGACACTACCTCAAACAATAGGGAGAACAATTATATTAGGTTAACGCAATGTAAACACGATATTACAAGTTAGTAAGTAAGTTAAAATGTGACTTAATGAATCTATATGTGTATTAAATCAGGCAGAAATAAATAATTTATGAAATTATTATTAAATTGCACAAACGGCCATTCACCTGGAGGGGAGGGACTACAGGTTTAATCACAGTTCCCATGACAGACACTTTGAAGCAAAAATGTTGCAAACAGTGAGGGACTTTTTCAGTTAAAGCATTACAAGAAAACATGCTCTACTTATTTCACGTACTCATAGATAAGTAATGAAGGATGTCCATCCTGGCAAATGGTACATTTCAGTGAATATCTGATCCAGAACATATATGTGTAAATTTTGTCAGCACTACGTGTTTTACAGTATCTGATTATATGAATCACATGCTTTTTTATCTTTGCTGATAGTTTGTATAGTCATACAGTTTATATTTTGCGCTACACAGTAGACGCTACACAGTAGACGCTACACAGTAGACTGCAGATTTGAAACATTTAGTGGATTATCTGCAACTTTTTTGATAATCAGTGTACAGTTTGAGACATTAATCAGGCAAAAATAGCAAAATATTCTTTGGTTCCAGTTTCTCAAATGTGCTGCTATTCTTTGTTTTATGTCATTGCTCATTCTTTTATCTTTGGGTTTTGGACTAAAGGTTGGACGAAACACGCAATTTTAATTTGGATATGAAAAATTATGATGGCTACTTTTCACAATTTTATCACATTTAATAGACAACATGATACATAATTAATAAGAAAATAGTCTGCAAATTAATCAATAATGAAAATAATTGTGAATTGCTGGCCTATTATATTATATACATTTGTAAATCTGCAAACAGTATTTGCTGACATGATGGTATTAAATTTTACCTTCCTTTCAGGTGGTGGTCATTGGCTTGTGGCTTACAGAAAGGCACAGGAGCAGAAGTACAGTAATGTGCACAGAAGAATAAAAGAGTCTCATAAAAAACTAGAGAACAGTGGGGTGGCTGATGGTAATACATTAGATGGGCCCTTCCTGGTAAGTCACTAAGATCTAGTTATGTGAGAATTGGTTATTTGACAAAAGAGCACACCATCAGTTGTTTTTTGATGAACGCAAATAATTACAATTTTAAATCTTCTTTTGTAGCTCCAGTTACATTGTGTTGATAAACCATCTGAACTGTGCTCTGTTGACGTCAGTGACCATAAACTGAATTCTGTAAGACTAATTTTTCACATTTTAGTCAAAATCACTTGGTAGTGTGCAGGTAAAACTGACTAAAGAGTTTTCCCTAACTGTGCACAGGTCAAGCCAGAAGACCTCAAGTTGTTTGATAATGTAGTTTACATCGATGCTTCTGTTAACTCCCTCTCTTTAGGTGACTATTTTTTACACATCAAGCAAACCCTGAATACAATCTTCTCTGGCAAAAAAGTTTCACGTGTCTGAACTGTCCCTTATTTTTCTACAGGGTCTTTCAGCAGTTTTGTGTCTTTAAGAGAACTCAGTCTGTCTCTAAATGGGATTTGCAACATGACGTTTCATGCATCTGACTTCCCTTGTCTTGAGGTAAGATGACAGATCTTGACATACTGTACTAATTAGATACACTGTTGCTATTATTATTTTTCATGTTGTTTATTTGGATTATTAACATGTCATAGCATTAATACACAACTCGACCTAAATTTTTATTTCTCACAAGAACTCGAACGCCTTTTATTACCATCCAGCATGTTCTCATTTACTTTTGCTGCTCCCTCTGTTCTTTTTACAGCTTCTTTCACATCTCCAGTTCTTTCATGATTTTCTATAATCCACTGACAAACAAAGACACCCTGTACTGTTAGTTTAATCTCTACTGATGCCTACATCATGCCTTTTAGATTTCAATATTTGTGCCCGTTTGATGCTTGAACAAAGTTGATTAAGATGGGGGGGGGGGGGCAATTCATAATTAATTCATGTTAGTGCAGGACAGATCAGCAGCTAATCTGTGTAACATCTGTAATATTTCAAACTGCATTATCTCAGATTCACACTCTGTTAATGGCATACACTCCTTTTCGTTCTCTATTTCATGTGATTATGTTCATCTAAATGCTTAATTTAAATCCTAACAGGTTTTGGATTTGTCCTACAACAGTTTGTCAGCTGATGATATTGTTTCCATCAGTCGACTTCCACGTCTAAAGGTCCTTCATCTGACTGGAAATCAGCTTCGTCATCTTCCTCCTAATCTGGGTTCCTCCAGCTGTGACCACACTCAGCTGTTAGTAGAGTATCTTAATTTCCATGCAGCAGCAATATAAGAGTGACGAGATACAATGTTTGTCATAGATTTTTTTTTTTACATATAGCTTCACTTATGATCAGTCAACTTCCCTTTTCAGTTCATAGATTTTCTTTTTCGCTAATTGTTTTTGTCCATCTTCATTGATGCAAATTTATGCTACGAATCAAAACAAATTAATCTGCTTCTCTTCTAACAATATTGCTCATTTGTTCAGGAAAAATGGAAAAAAACACAAGTTGATAATGAAACAAAATTCCGCTATGAGTTGTGGAGAAGCTGGCAGACTGAAAGACAACTAATCTGTTTCAATGCATATTTTCCACATCAAAATGCAAATTAATTCTCTAACTACAGTCTGACACTGCCTCCAGTCTGCTGCTTTCAATTATTCCTGCAGAGAACATCTTAAGCAGGCAGTGCACATGATACAGTACCCAGCCTCAGTTTATGAGAAGAATGAATAGTGATATGTCCTAAATTCTTTTAATAATAATGCAAATGTTTTATAGTTATCTTTCAAATCAGTTGTACCAGTGATCACTTGGCTTGCAAAATCATCAAATATCAAACATGCTTATACTTGTTCAGTGCATTGGTTATAATTCTTGTCAAAACAGTCAATTACAGAGAAAGGCCACAAAGTCAAGATGCATTTTCAAATTGACCAAAAGGGGGTGCACAAATGTTCCAGATTCACACTCCTGATTCTGGTCAAACGAATGTAATGACATTCAATACACCTGCTCCACAGCCAGGTCTATAATTGGTATGCACACATATATATCAGTAGTATGTAAATGCAACTTTAATTGCATTATAAAATATTTTGACTGTTTATTAGTGTGTGTACTGTATGGATTTCATGATGTTGGTTGATTGTACTGTTGCATTTCTTTTTTTTTTTTATACAGGCCGGCTAAAGAAGAGGACACACACTTTAGAGCTCTTGAAATCCTGATGCTGGATGATAACAAACTGTCCTCTGGAGTCTTCAGCAGTCTCACAAATCTGAAGAGGTACTGATGAGGTTTTCTATATAGTATTTTAAATAAAAAAGTGTTACTTAAAAGGACAATCCACCAAGTCATAGTCATATCCCTTGTGTACCATTCAGCCTGTGGAGCTGGAGGAAGTTTAGCCAAGCATGAGAAAATAATTCCAGTGACATCATCTGAGTAATCTCAGTTTATGCTTGTAAACCAGTTGTTTTTTACAGAGATCCTGTGTTATAAACTGGCAACATTGGAAGATGTGAACATTTATTTATCAAGTGCAATCATGTTTCATTATGAGAAGTGTGGGATCCTGTGTTTTTGAAGATGAACTCATATTAGGGAATAAAAAATGGGATATTTTAGTCTGCATCAATTCTGACCATTTGTCACTGGAATACAATTTTAAAGCACAAAACAATCTGTGAAAACATTAATTCATTTCTATATTTTCAATTTCAGGCTTAAGTATTTAAACCTACAGAGCAACCACATTTCGGAAGTACCATATTTACAAACTAAGGGCTGTTCAAAACCTGTTCAGACTTCTGCTGAAAGGCCAACTGAGGAAGAGGGAGCTGGTAAATGCTAAGAATCTGCTTGATGTAATTTGTAAATAATTTAACAATGAACCTGCATGTAAGAGTTTCCTCAGCATCCTCTGAAAAAAGTTGTCATTTTTATCCATTCAAACCAGCCCACACTGAGCCAGATCCTGAGAATGATGAAGATTTCAAGAGAATCTCACAGGTAATTGATTCTGCAGTTTGTGTTTGAGATGTTTCATCACTGTGTTTCTGTAGCCCACATTTTAAATAAATTAAACTTGTGTGTGGTCTGTCAACCTGGATCAACCTGGAGGAGTACTGCAAAGGATCAAGTTTGCCTCTACCAGAGCTTCAGTATCTCAATCTATCTGACAACAAGGTATCCCTGTTATTTTATATAAAGAAATCAACTATTTTGGAAAAAATAGCAAACGTGTCTCATCAGTGTTTTGTCATCAGATTGCCGAGGAAGACGCACTGATGGCTGTCATTCTTTTCCCAATGCTTCGCGAAATTGACATTCACTCCAACCCTCTGACCACAAAGAGAAGTGGTAATCCTCTCCTATAAAACATAGTTTTTGAAGATCAGTTCTGAATTGAAATTGCTGAATCATGTCTTTGCTTGAATACAGGGGACCCTCCCTTACTGACCTATTACCTCCAAGAGAGACTGGGGATAACAATAAAGCGTAAACAGATACGAGAAGTTGTGAAGCCCTCACTGAAGGTGTCCACTAATCCAAAATGGCAGGTTGGATGTGTCCTGCATAATTGATATTGTCTGATCATGACCCTCCAGATTTCACTATATGAAAGTTAAACAGTCTACGATTCATCTCCTTTTTTTGTGACATTTTTGTATTGTAGGTGGAAGAAAGGATCTCAAAGGTGCCAAAGAAGCCAATGCTGATGGATGAATCATGTCCTGCACAAACTCAGGAGGGCAAGGACCGCAGGGACCTCACTTTCCAAGAAAATACAGAGCACTTCTTTGTTACTGAGGTATGTACATGTCCAGTATTTGTGATTTTCATATTGCTCCTGTTGGTTGTGAAATGTGAATTCTACAACCTATATGTTATTCAGAAATACACGGTGGATTAGTGCCTGCGCAGTTTCTTTGCCTCTTCACGGAATGTTATTTCATGTTCAGGCAGCAGACATTTCTGAAAATGAGTTTGATCTTCGAGCTGATGAGAAAGAAACAGCAGGGAATGATGACAGATACGAGGATGATACGATTCCTGAAAAATTCAACTGCTACAAGATGTTGATGGATGCAAAACCATATCCTGAAGCCGTGGAGCCCACTGGTGAGGACTGTAGTTTCACCTGCAGCTGTTTATTTTTGTACATTTTCGTGAAGCCCTAAAGAGTTTGCCTATACAATGGCCCCATAGTGAAGGGGGAATATTCATGCTTTTTTTTCCAACAGGAATTCAAACAGCTGTTCGGATGCTGGAACACGCACTGAAGAATCTTAATGTTTACAGAGACTCAAAACCAAAACTTGATAGCATCCAGATGCCATATAAAGAAAGACAGAAAAGGGTTTGATATTTTGCTTCTCAAAATTTCTTTGCATTTGGATTTAATGTCACTGTCAAATTACAACAAATAAAACAAGAACTGTTAAGAACAAGGGAAACAGTTTCACCTTCATGTTATGACTTCAAACATTTGTTTTCACAGATTAAGGAACTTCCACCTCTGAAACCAGTAAAGCAGCCGACTGAAAGGGTTGACGAAATGATCAAGGAAATCAAAGGGAGTACAACGATAAGAGAAGTCGCCTTAAGTATGCACAGTTCTGATACAATCCCGCTTCAGACAACTTGACCTTTTATGACCTTACCTTTCCTTATGTAATACTTTGTTTTGCGTACAGGCAGTGCCATACACGGTGCAGGCGTTAACAAGCAAGAATATAAGGAAGCTTTGTCGCTGCTGAGGGACATGAAGACAAAGTACAAGATGGTCCATAAGAAAACAATGGAACAAGCAGCCAGCATTGAGTCTGATGACAACACCAACCTAAATGGAGCTCAACCTCCACCTGTGCAGATGGTGTGATGCCTGCCTTGAATAACACCTTGTTGATGTTGGCATAGAACTGGTGTGAGTGGAATTGAAATCACTGTGTTTCTGTTCACATGAGTCTGTCTGGTTAATACTGTGACAAACGTATGGTGACGGTTTTGAGCAGCTGCACCGATGCTACTTTGACCACATTCAGTCCAGCGTGCTTGCATAGTATGCATCAACTGTTAATAGAGTTCAGCTGTAAGAGTCGACTGGGTCCTCCTCGGGGAGAGACAGTTTAAACTATTACATTATTATCTTTTCAAGCCAATAAGAAGTCTCAGTGTTTCCTCTGGCCCAAGCTGTTCCCATATGTATTCTCTTTAGCATGAACCTACTAGTGATATCTTTAAGTCCACTATAGGCCAACAGGCTGTGATAATAAGTGAAGAAGATGTCAGTTCCAGCGCCCATCTTGTAAGCCTACTGAAGCGTCCTTAAGCAATGAAGCAATGCTGCTCTTTGGGTGACCAGTGAAAAAAAGACAAATAGGATTGTGTAGATTCATAAACAATGAAATCCACAATGAGCCCTGCGCTGACTTAAAATATAAATATTGTTCAGAATTCTCTTAATCTTAAAATGGAACCTTAGCATTAGCACTATTGTCAACCGTGGATTAAATGTCACCTTGCTACTTGAGAACAAAACAAATGGGAGAAGCTGCAGCCTACAGCTTAAGTATAGTGAGTGTTACCTCAGAACAGCAGTGATTGAGTTACTAGTTAGAGTCTGCAGTTTTTTTTAAATATTGCACAGCCTGTAGTTGATCAGAATCAGGTATTCTCCAGGGACATGCTATACATTTTGTTGACCAGGTCGACTTTCTAACCAATAGAATAAAGCTGAGGATGTGGTCCTGTGTATGGTTTGTTACCATGTAAACGCTTTTAAGACCTTGAAATCAGCTACAGAACATTTATACTGCAGTGGCCGGTATTTCATTTGACAGATGATTGATCTATTATCTCATGACTCATACCTATATCTTCTGGTTTGTTGAGTCTCGTGTATTTGCTTTCATACTGTAGGTTTCAGATACCATTAGTGAAGCTATGGCTGTGGTCATTTCTGTCAGGCAGGAACAATAGTATTTAGTTGAGTAGTAGTTGTTTGTAGTTTTGAACGGACCTCTGTAGCTCAACATGATTTACAGTCCACATCCTTGAACGCATAAATGATCAAGTCAAGCTTTTTAAAATTTCTAGTCATGTTTTGTTTTCGTTTTCCATTCCCTTTTTGATTTCATGGTCTTGTCCTTCATATGATTTCAATTATTTTTCGGCAGAGCAGCTTGCAGATGTGGAATGCACGTTCAGCCCAGGTGGAATAAATCAATAGGTACTCTGAAGATATCATATGCAGATTTTCTACATTATTACATTCATCTGTGGATGTTCCCCTGCTTCTGTATTGAATGGTAAATAAAATATGAATTGTATACAGTAAGCAAAATGCTTTCTGTATACTGTATCTACTACGCTGTCATTTTGTGCCATCTGTTTCACGTTTTCATTTTGTTTCATTTCAGTTATTTTTCAACCGTTACATTCATTTATTAACCATTATAAAATTATTGTAAAGCTATTCATTGATTTATAATGTAGATTATTATAGCTCTATATGAAATCCTTGAAAATTGACATTGACAATTTTTTTTTTAATAAGAATTTTTACAGTAACCTACCAAAATTAAACAACTGGCTATGCTTTAAGTAACACAAACACAGTTGAAAGCAGTTATATGTTTGTATTACAATTTGAAAAGCTGATATTAAAATATCGGGGACAAAAAAAAGGCTAGGTACAAATAATCTAAAATATTTAAACATATAAGGTTACAGCAACACATAAAGAGTGTGTTTGCTCTGGTGAATAAATTAAGACACTGAGAACGATCAGTACTTTCCTGATCTGTGCTATCAAGCACTTCAGTCTGCGGGGTTTTTCATCTTCAGCGGTATATTTGGTGGTAATGAGGAGACTGGCAATTGAAAGAGTTTTGACATAAAAACTGTTTTACAGGTAATTGTCTTATTTTCCAGTACACTGTTAAATCTAATTCCTTTTTCTTTTTAAACCACAATACTTTTACTGCTCTCTCCAGACGATAGTGCAACTCAAGTAAATGTCTTTTGAGAATTTGTTGTTGCTTTACAGGAACTTGTTGGAGTTTGTTCTTCAGCCAGTGAGTCCTGCCATGAATTTATTTTGCCTGACAAGAAAGCTGTTATGAAGTAATTTTGAAGTGATAATGATTGGTTCTTCAAGCATCTACTGTTGCATAAGTTCAGTGTTTTCATGCTGGAATTCGGTGATGTAAGAGCTTCTTATACATGTCAGTTTTCCACAGTTTTGGGCAATGATTAGTTACAGCTGTTATAATCCATGCCGACAGGATAATATGAACACGTTTAGATCAGTGTTTACTGTCACCATTTTTTTATGATAAATTTACTTTCTTCCTTTGTCTGCTTGTGTTTGCACCAACTATTATGAACCACCAAAACCTATCCTGCTTTGCGTTTTTACTACAGACATCAAAATAAGCCTGGTCACACACCCTGACCACTACCTTTCTCCTCAATCCTGAACCAATTTGGCATCAGGAGAAAAAAAGTCCTAAGCTTAGGCTATATATGAAAGCAATGACCAGGTCAGGTGATCAGTATGTAATCAAAATGAGTCATATTTGAATCTGTCAGCACAGTTTAAACATTACACACATTTTAATTTGCTTCATATAGACTCAAATGCAAGTTTACAGGATAGCCAAAAAATACTCCATTGGATTTGAGTACAGCACATCAACTCTGTCAGGAAAAAAAACATCATTATAAAAAACCATCAAACAGAGCAACGAATTTTGTTTTGCACAAAAAACTAAACATACTATAAAAGAATGGTCAGAGGCCAAGATATCCAGACTTTTAGCCCATACAGTTCAACTTCTAAATACAGTGAATGCTACTGGGTTTCCCATAATGCAACTTGTAGTGTCTATGCCCAAGCCAGGATAACCCCATGACATCACTGTGACATCTTTTTTTTCAGACTCTGGAGAGCTCCATCCAGAGACACAACAGACATTGTACCAATAGCTGAATTTGATGTGTAAAATCGGTTCCTTTAAGATTTTGTGATTATAAAGCAGGTCTAGGTGCTATATAAATATTGTGAAGGTATCTCACTCCACGGAGAAATGCACACAGCCCAAATTCAGGAACTGCGCCTTATCCTAGCTGTCATTACTTCTGTAATTTTGTGACATCACAACTATACAAACACTGCTTTCAGCCATGCCCCCAGCACAGCCCACCTTGACCCACTATCCAACCTATTTTTTGGTTGTTGTTTTAACTTTATTAACAATACAACATTGAGCTCTCATCACGTCTCTGAGCCAATGAGATAGAAGACAGACAGATGTCAAGGAGACGCTGCACAGCTGGTTGTCAGAAAGCCGATATATCATTGCACAGCCTTCCTAAGGATAGTACAAGTTTATTTTTTCTGAAATACCTGAAATTTTAGGCCAAATTTGACCCTCTGTTCAGCTCATTTCAGCACTGATGGACCATCACCATTTGCATTTAATGGTGAGTTTTACAGTGGTAGGCAACAATCCATTACCTGTAATTGGTCTGGCCTGTGCGTCAATCAGAAAACAGTCAGCCAATCAGAAGAGAAGCTCCGAGACTGACACAAAATGCCCTGTTCTCTCTAGAGCTCCAGAGAGAAGCATAAGAGAGGAGATGTAAAACTGTATTGAAATAGTTTCATACTTAAACCCACAAATATGTCTTCTCTTGAATATCAAAACTTCAAACACAACACTGGCAAAGTGTAAAATATAGCACCTTTAATGTTACTTTGATTAGTGTCACAAGTTAATCCCCATTTCTAACTAATATCAGTGGCTGTTTTTTTTTCTTTTGAATATAACAGTGTGACATTCTGACTGTGCAAATATAATCACTAAACATTCTCTGCTTTCTGGCCTGCCCTTGGTGATTTACACTTACTGACCTCATGGAGGCATGCGTGTTTAAAGAAGCGAAAATGGCCTAATAATGTGACAAATCACTTCAAGACAGAAGATAATTAGACAATCCACATATGTCTGTAATTTATTTCCTACATATATGTAAAGTTATTCCAGAGGTTTCACTTTAATAAGCACAGAATTAGATCCACTTAACATTGTAGGGTGAAGCTAATGGAAATTTATGTCTCTTTTTATTTTTATTGGAGTCCTTCTCACATTAACATCAACACAGAATAAACGGACAAACAAAAAGGCTCAGTTCTGCTTTTCTTCTGTAACCTCTTTGCTCTTACCATAAAAAACTGATGAGGTGAGTTATTAACTGAAAACACATTTTATCCATGCGCTTGGTGATATAACAGAATCTGGCAGGAGAGCCGGGTACTGTGTCCAAAAGCAAAAATAACAAAAGACATGGTGGAGAAAGGCATCGCCGGTCTGTGTCTTAGACAGATCTGTGTTTATATATCTATATGATTTTTTTTTCTGTACATTTGAACGCAGAACATTTTCACATCTGGGGCAGTCATCGTGGCAATCAAGCCTGAGAAATGTTTGGGTAAGATTTGTTTGACTCTCAAATTGAGGGCCAACAGTTAAGCTTTGAGAATAACCCTGTGGAGACTCAGACACCAGATTTGGCTCAGGAAGAATAGGCCTGAATACCTCATCAACACTCCTCATTACTCAAGTGCCAAATGAGTTCACTGCAGACTGGACCTATTCATTATTTCTTTTGATGGACAATTGAACTGTAACACAATTATCATGTAATCCTGGAAAGGCTTCGGATACTCTGGCTGACATCTGAAAGGAGGCCATTATTAATTACAGATCATAACCGTAAAGTTGTTGTCGGTCTTCTTTCTTCTGCAAAACAAAAGATCTCACTGTGGTCTGTCTTTAATAGTCTACAGTCATTACTAGCATGTGTTTAAAATTT